ACGTGTTGTTCTGGTACCTGTGCTGTAAATTTCATCCTTGCTTTCTCAGCGTTTGATGTTCATGCACCCATAAAGGGATGGTATCTTAGCTAAGCTTATAAAATATTATAAACATTCATTTTTAAAATATTTTCTACTAGTAAAAGTTTTTATTAGGTCCATGAGTCCCCAAAGATATGGAATTGCAGAAATCTCTGATTATATTGATGATTTAGATGCAGACCCGTCTTTCCAACCTGGTTTCTATGTCATGCAAGAAGGACATATTTGCAGCTTGTGGAAGGTTTGTATTGCTCCTGTGCTATACATACTGTCACTTTGTGGAAGAAACAGGCTCATTGTAGTCTTTTTAAAAAACACATAGCATCGTGAGTAGAAAACAGATAAAGCCAGAAGAGAATAACTGTTGTCGTTGGATATTGTACTCGACCGGAATATTTCATGGTAGAAGGTGCTGCCAAGGAAGTGACTGCTCAGAAAGGTCTGTACAGTCCAATACGTATAAAGAAGCTAACCACAAAGGACATTTTGGAGAGAAGTTCCTTAGCCCTATAACTGAAATACATTTTGGCGTTCACAGGCTTCGAGACAGGTGTATGAATTTGAAAGCTATGAGAAATATTGTCGAAGCTGTCACACTATTGCGAATGAAACACACGAGGAAATGTTCCAGCAATATTACAGACTTAGAGACCATCACCTACAACGTGAGTTCGTTGTTGGTCTCATGGACTGCTCTGAATATATGAAAGGGATAAGCTGTTCTCGCGGACAGAAAACCAATACATATTACTTGACTGTCGATGGAATTCCGCCATCTATACGACAGCATTAGAAAAAAGAGGATGATGATGTCCAGCAGCTGTCAAAGAAAGAGATTTTTTAAAAAACTTTTCATCCTTATTAATGCTCAAATTACGAGATTCCCCGCTGTTGAAGATGCTTTCAGCTGCAGCAATATAATCATAAACTGAAGCAGAACAGACTCAACAGAGACTAATCAATAACTATTTATTTCCTACTAACCCATCGTACCAAACAGTGACCTTTAAGCCCCAGAAAAATCAAATCAAAGACGTTCCATTGTCAGCACTGAACCATGAACAGCCTAAAAGGCTCCCTGTTGCCAAGTACACTTTTCATCAGACTGGGGGAACACACAATGTTCTTTTAACTTTGCCACACGTAACTTATAACAGGCTACCACTTACGCTGTGTTTTCGCATTGAAGTGCCTTTCCAGATCATTTTAATCTTTCTTAACAAACACTTGCGCAATAGTTCATTGATAAACAGAGTACTATGGGCTAATACGTTTATAAGGTATTACACAAATTCATTACACAAGCTCAGAATTTATCTTTCTACTGATATTGTTCTTGTCTAAGGATGATGCGCAGCTCCTTCTTTCCTATCAAACAACTATCGTACTTATCTCTCCTCCTTTTTTTTGTGTATGTTACTCTCTTGTAACACCTCTAATCTTCGGCACTTATATGACCTTATTGAGTTGCAAGTGCTGTAAAACGCTTACTAAAACTAAAAGCAGTCCTGAAAGAAAGGATCTGTGCAGTACTAGTAATTTTATACTCTCCGTATTGTGCAAATTCTGCATAATACCTTGAAGACAAGTAAGAAAGCTTAACTCTTAAAGTTATTAACATAATTTCATATCGTGGAGACCCCAAATCTGTTTCATTTTCTTTTTCTTGTTTTTCACTCCCCAAAATAGATCACTTTGGCATATTGAGTTGATAAACCTGTTCAATAATCAAGAAAAAAATCCCTTTTCTCTTTATTCTATTACCAAACGATGTGGCGTATTGTCAATCTTGTGTCTTTACGGACATAATTATGTTCTCACAAACAGGCGTATCAGCTATTTTAAACAATTTCTTAAAAACTGATAAAGCAATATCTGTAATCATTATAGGGAATGATAAATCAGTGGTTGTACTAATATCTTGCCAAAAATTGAAACGAAAAAGCTAATGGTTATGCCACAGCAAGAATTTAAAAAGTGTCCAAAACTTTGAAATGCTCTCCTGAAAAATGCCCAAAATGCTCTTACGCCCTTTTGTGAGATGGACGACGGTGTGTGTGTGTGAGTGTGTGTGTGTGTGTGTGTGTGTGTGTGTGTGTGTGTGTGTGTGTGTGTGTATGTGTATGTGTGTGCGCGTGCGTATTATGTCTTTGGCCCAGAACGAGATATTCATTCTTTCATTCAAACTATTTGCAAACGTATTTCATATATCATGTATGCAATTTTATACAGTAAAGAGGTAGGGAAAGTTGATTGTTCTTGCAACTACGAGACTCGTATGTTCAATGCCGTTCAGAGCTTCCAAAACACCAACAACGAAGAGCTGAACAGAAAACTAATGAAGATTGAACAACAGAGCAGCTACAAATGCCTCACAAAACCTGGACGTAACAGTTACTTGTGTTCATTAGTTTTAATTTTGTTTTTGTTCAGGAGCTGTTGGTTTCTTACCGAGCTCGAAACCTCTTTTGTACACAGACCCTGTAAGATTTTGAACATCTGTCAGTGAGGAACAGAGGCCACGAAACTGTCACAGTTTTGGGTGGCCTGGGGTGGAATGAACAAAGCCGCTCTCGTGAGAATCACCGGATGCCTTGGTTTAGTGGACTACATCGTGCAAGTGCTGGAACGTCATGTCTTACCCTTATTTTCGTCAATGTGTTATTCAAGTAGTCATCCCCATGCGAAACACGGCATTTTATCATAGAGCCAATGCCATTACAGAATTCTTAAAAAACCAAATCAAGTCAACGTTCGAATAGTTAGCATCAAACAGCCCCGATATGAATCCTACAGGTATGTGAAGTCCCATGAAACAGCAGCTGAAGAAAAACGACTTTGCCCCCAATTCAGACCCTTTGTTTGCAACTCTCTGTGACATTTGAAATGAAATGACTGATAAATACGTCCAAAACTAAATTGAATTGATGCCCAAAGGTTTCGTGCACAACACAAAGCCAATGGTTCCCAAGCAAAATAACAATGAACACAATTAGTGTTGAGTCGAAATTTTGTGTGATATCTGTGATTGCTCTGTTTTCCGTTATGTTTGAAACTATCGTGACAAAATATTGTAATAAAATATTGTTCATTGCAAAGACACAATTCTCCATTCATTGGAGCATTCACTATATCGCTAGTCGATCAATATTGATACTCTTCAATACATGCGCAAAGACAATTTTACGTTTCTTTGATTTCGCACAATTTTGCCAAGCCTTATTTTTTGAAGGTCAATTTTGAGTGACAATATCTCGGGCGTCTCTTAAAATAGATAAAATATGTATGTGGCAGATGATGAAGAATTTATTTAGCATTAAATTAGTATGCTGCGTGAGTGGGTAATGCAAGGCTTTAACACGATGACTGGGTGATTACATTTTCAAGTTTCTTTTGGACGCCACTGTATAACGGACTACGTTTACAGTAAGTTTTGCACGT